ATGATCATGCCAAAGTCCGTGCCGTTGGAGGCGTTCTACTGGCCGCGTACGGAGATGGTGTCACCGCTAACGGAACTTCACTGATCACAAGCGTTCACTGATTTTTTTTTCAACCCCTCTTGCTCCGCGAGACAGCCTGTTCGCTCGGTCGTATTTGGCTTATAAGTCATAGTTTATCGGCCAACGAATAGTATTTTTCTATCGTACCAAACCAGCCAACAGTACTTTCAACCATGGCTTATTAGCCAAACGAGTCCAAACGAACAGGGTGAACGTCTGGCACCAACCTGATCACTGCATTGTTAAACTAATTTGCATCACTGTTCGGAAGAGAAACAAAGGGCTCTTCCACGACAATGAGATGCATTTGTATACTTTTTTTAATAAAGTAGTACTATGCAGTTCTGCATTGAGCCAGAGTTCCACAACTTCTGGATGGTATAATGGAAGAGTTTATAATTTTATATTGGTCATGTTCGCTTCTCTTATAATCCATCTTTTTCAGTTTGTTTTTTTCAGCCGGAACAGTGTTTTTCTCTCACAACAAATTAGCAGGAACAGTGTTTCGATTTATTTTTTTCAGTGAAGCGAACGGGGCCATTGAAGTAGAGTTTTCCCTAGCATCGAGGAGGATTTTTTTATTTTTAACACTTTTTATAAACTAATTTTAAATATAACATTGTTTATTTTTTTTTTAAATCTAATACTTTTGGCCGCGCCTATTGTCCTGCGCGGCAAAACGCCTATGCCGCGCGCATGCATGGTGGCGCGGCGAGAGGGATGACGTGCACGACGATCGGGGCGCTGACCGGTGACATGGTCGGGGCTGCCACGCCGCGGATCTGGGCACGGCACTGATGCCCCATGGCGTATGGCGTGACAACCTTTGACACGGAGAGACGGATGGCCCATGCTGCTTTTGCGCGGACAGACATGAAAAGAAAATAAGAATGTTATCGCTTAACCACATGTGCTTGTATATTATATATATTCATCCACAGGACATCACGATTCTTGAAGAAAGGAAGTCATGGTCTGGTGGGTGTCCTGTGGATGAATATATATAATATACAAGCACATGTGGTTAAGCGATAACATTCTTAATTTCTTTTCATGCCTGTCCGCGCAAAAGCAGCATGGGCCATCCGTCTCTCCGTGTCAAAAGTTGCCGCGCCATGCGCCGTGCTGCGTCAGTGCCGAGCCCAAATCCACGGCGTGGCAGCCCCGAGCACGTCACCGGTCAGCGCCCCGGTCGCCACGTCATCCCTCTAGCCGCGCCACCATGCATGCGCGCGGCACAGGCGTTTCGCCGCGACAGGATAATAGACGCGGCCAAAAGTGTTAGATTTAAAAAAATTAAACAGTGTTAGATTTAAAATTAGTTTACAAAAAGTGTTAAAAATAAAAAAAAACATCAGACTATTAGTACTACTCCCGCCTCAAGTATCTGACTAAGGATTCTCGTAGAAAATGTTTTTTATCTAAATTCTCTTAAGAAACGTTCATGGTGATGAATCAGAATCACTTCGTAAAACCGTTTAGTTAGTAGACTACATTCTAATTAAAAAAATATTTTTTGCATAAAAAACATATAAATGAAAATATTTTAAAAAAAATTCAGAACTTTTTGTAGGCAAAGAGCAATTTAAATACAACCTATTTTAACTTATTTCACTTAAGAATGAACTATAAAATTATGGTTCCTAATATAGAAGCGGGGCAATAATCAAAATCACGCAAAACCAGTTAACATGCATTTCTCCTTACTCTGGTGATCTCTGCTCGCAGACTTTGAAGTGCGACGACGAAAGAAGACATGTAATGTGGTCATAGTGGTAAGCACGGTGGCTTGATTCAGATCCCGGTTTCTAAATATGATGACAGTGGTAAGCACGGTGGCTTGATTCAAATCCCGGTTTTTAAATGTGACGACAATTATACAGTCATGTGTGTAATTATTGAACGGCGCTGCTAGCGTCCGAAAGTTCAGACGGACATTGTCCTCCTCTCTGTCCTCTTCTTCCCTGCGCCCGACTGCCTCTACCCCTCTCTTCACCACCGACAGCCCCTCCGCCCCTCTTCCTCCCCGCGTGATGACAATTGTCTTTCTCATGACCCACCGCCCCACCGCGGTAGGGTCTTGCTAGAGTTCCGCGGGCGTGTCCACGGTGGCCTCCTTCTTCCCCTCCCCCTCCTGGCCCCACCGTAGCCAAGCTCGTCGATCGCGTGCGCGGCACGCGGAGGTGGCGGCCGGAGTACAATAATTTCCGATTATTGAATGTATATTATATAATATATATACTCCCTGTTTATTTGGGCTTGTTTGGCTTATAAGTCATAGTTGAAAGTACTATTGGCTGGTTTGGTGTGAGAGAAAAATATTGTTTGTTGGCTGATAAACCATGACTTATAAGCCAAATACGACCAAGCGAACAGGCTGATACTCACCGGTCACCGGTATCCAGTGCTGCAAGCTGGGCTCCACGAGCACCATACCTTATCGCTAGATCGGCAGCTTGAGCTCGCTCGTGGCCACGCTGACGCTGCGGCAGGGGCGCAGGGATGAAAGCTCTAGTTTGGTTTTGGTGAATTGATGAAACCCTAAGTGCTAACCTAGTTTATCAAGTGATCATGAGATAGGTAGTACATTCCAAGTGATGAAGCAAATGAAGATCATGACATGATGATGGTGATGCCATAGTGATGATCAAGTGCTTGGACTTGAAAAGAAGAAAGAGAAAAACAAAAGGCTCAAGGCAAAGGTATAAATGGTATGAACCATTTTATTTTAGTGATCAAGACACTTAGTGAGTATGATCACATTTAGGATTGATAGCCGTACTATTAAGAGGGTGAAACTCGTATCGAAATGCGGTTATCAAAGTGCCACTAGATGATTTAACTCATTGCATATGTATTTAGGATCTAGTGGAGTGCTAACACCCTTGAAAATGTTTGTGAAAATATGCTAACACATGTGCACAAGGTGATACACTAGGTGGTTGGCACATTTGAGCAAGGGTTAGGAACTTCACCGACAGAGTGTCCGTCTGTAGAGTGCGGACAGTCCGACGGTGCCAACAGCGCCCTATACAGAAAAGATAGAGGTAACTGTAAGTGACCGGACGCTGGCCTCGGTTGGACCGGCGCGTCCGGTCAGCAGAAGCTGCAAAGATGCTGGCGTCGGTCTCTGACCAGACGCTGGGTCACTTAGTGACCGGACGCTGGAGGGGTGCGTCCGGTCCTGCTGACGTGGCAGTGCATAGGGGAGACGCCGTGTGACCAGACGCTGGGTGTGTCCGGTCGTGATTTCTCGCTTCTGAATGCTTACTGAAAATGGCCGGACGCTGAGGTCCAGTGTCCGGTCACTTCGAAGCAGCGCGTTCGGTCATCACTTGACCGTTGGGATCGGACGCTCAGTATTTAAAGAGAGGGGCACGGGGCGTGCATCGCACGACCGGACGCGGGAGTCCTGCGTCCGGTCGATCTGACCGGAGCGTCTGGTCACCCCGTGTTGTGCCCAATGAAGGGGTACAACGGCTCTATTTCGTGGAGGCTTCTATTTAAGCCTCATTGTCGGTTCTAGCTCACTCTCTTGGCCATTTGCATTGACATAGCAACCTTGTGAGCTTAGCCAAATCCCTCCCACTCATCTCTATCATTGATTGATCATCTTTGTGAGATTGGGAGAGAATCAAAGTGCAATGCTTGAGTGTTTGCATCTAGAGGCACTTGGTGTTCGTGTTTCGTTGTGGGATTCACTTGTTACTCTTGGTGGTTGCCGCCACCTAGATGGCTTGGAGCAGCGAGGATCGTCGAGCGGAGGTCGGTGATTGTCTCCGGCTCCAATCGTGGTGATTATGAGGGGTTTTTAACCTTTCTCCAGCGGAGAGCCAAAAGGTACTCTAGTGGATTACTCGTGGCTTGTGTAATCCTCATCTTGTGTTGGTTGTGCGGCACCCTATTGAGGGTTTGACATATGATGCCAATTAGCACGTGAACCTCCAAATGAGTGAATCGCCACAACGAGGAATAGCTTGCCGGCAAGCAAGTGAACCTCGGTAAAAAATTATTGTGTTTATCATTTGATTCCGATATGATTGGTCTTCATTGATATTGATTCTTATGATTGATTGGTTCACTCCTCGACACGACGGTATAATTATCTTGCTCTCTCTCTTTACATTACCGCAAGCTAGTTATCAAGCTCTTTAGTGTAGCTAGTTGTGAAAGCTTGTTAGTTTGGTTAGTGTGACTCTTTAGTTAGTCTTTGAGAGCACACTAACTTAGTGTAGTGCTATAGCTATTGTGTAGTTAGAGATAATAGAAACTAAAATTATGGTACGCAAGACTTGTTTCGCCTTATAAATGTCTAACCATTTTGTTAAGTGTTGTTATAGAATTCTTTAATAAGCTATTCACCTCCTCTAGCCATTAGGATCTTTCAAGGGAGACCAGCCACATACCTAGAAATACATGCCTGTTCGCTTCTGATAAGTCATGACTGAAAATAATATTGACTGATTTATTATGAGCTATTCATTAGCTGAAAAAAATATAAGTTATAAACCAAGCGAGATTCACCCCGCCGGCTGCCACCATGGGTTCTACTACTTGTTTATCCAGACTTTGGAGAACGGAGAGCAATGTCTAAAGATGGACTGTTGACTAACCTGAGTGGCGGGCCGGGGTGTGTCGATCTGCTCGCTGGTGGACATGTTTAGTGAGCGGTTACCGTGAGCAGGTTGGTCTGAGTAGATGCAGGTCAGAGATCACCGTCATTTAAATGCGATGAGAACGCTGCAGCCATCAGCCACCGCTAGATTTTGAAGCGCGACGGTGGTACGATTCAATCAATTTTTAAATGCGGCGACAACGGTGCAGCTGGAAAAGTTATTGTAATGGCACGAGCTGACGACCACGAGAGGTATCGCCAGCAGTATTGGCACTTGGCAGCTTGAGCTCGACGGCCACGCCGCCACTGGCCGTGGCCGGGGCACATGGAGCTCCTGCGGGACAGCATCCCCATGGTGTCCCTGGCTGTCCTGGTGGCCGCGGTGTGTGCGCGCGCCGCGTCCCCGTGGCTCCGCCCCGGCCTCCCCCGCCTCGTGTCGTTGCTCCCGGTGGTCGCCTTCCTTGCCGCGGTTCCCCTGGCCTTCTCCTCCTCTGCAATCATCCGGGGACTCGCAGGCTTCTTCTTCCTCGGGTGGCTCGGCGTGTTCAAGGTCGTCCTCCTGGCCGTTGGCCGCGGCCCCCTCGACCCCGCGCTCCCCGTTCTCCCGTTCGTCTTCACCACAGCGCTCCCCGTTAAGCTCATCAGATGCTACGGCACCGGCGCTGCCGCCGGAGCAGCAGCGTGCAGCAGGGCCAAATCGGTCTCCCTCGTTTCGTGCGCGGTCAAGGCCGCCGTCATAGCCGCCATCCTGCATGCCTACCAGTACGTGAACCAGCTGCATCTCTACATTCGCCTCGCTCTGTACGGCGTCCACATGTACTGCTTCTTGGACTTCCTCCTCCCCTGCATCGCGGCAGCCGGCGGCGCGCTCGGCATGGAGATGGAGCCGCAGTTCGACAGGCCGTACCTGGCGTCGTCCCTGCGCGACTTCTGGGGGCGGCGGTGGAACCTCATGGTGTCGGCCATCCTCCGGCCATCAGTCTACGACCCCGTGCGCGCGCGCCGGGAAGGCACCGGCCGTCCTTTGCACGTTCCACGTGTCCGGGCTGATGCACGAGGTCATGATGTACTATCTCACCCTGCGACCACCCACCGGTGAGATGACGGCCTTCTTCCTGCTCCATGGCGTGTGCTGTGTTGCCGAGGAGTCGTGCGCGCGGCGGTGGGCGGAGTGGGGGCGGCGGCCGCCGCCGCGACCCGTGGCTACGCTGCTCGTGGTGGTGTTCGTGGCCGCCACGGCATTCTGGCCCTTCTTCCCGCCAATCTGCAGGGAAGGAACGGAGGAGGTGCTGCTGGAGGAGTGGGCAGCGGTGGGGGCGTTCTTCAACGACGCCGGCTGAAAGCTGCTCCCGTATGTTTAGCACCTCAAACCTTGAAAGTCGGCATTATTCGTGCTGCGCCAGCTGACTTATATGGTTGAGAATTGTGCTGAGATTACTTCACTCGATTATGTATGCTCCAAGATGACATTTTGTTGATGCTAACCATCGCAAGAGACCAAGAGTAATCATGTTACCTATCACTTGCCACATATACAGCCTGTTCTTTTGGACTGAATTGACTTATAAGCCGATGACTGAAAGTTGGTCAAACGCAAGACTCGGTCAAACGCAAGACTCGGTCATGATTCATGAACTTCAGGGGTACACGCTGCAAATCATGCATGCATGAGCTCACGGCGTGGAAACGTTTGGATATGGATTATGATAGGGAAAAGGAAATACATCGGGATAAAAGGCCGGGATATGCAGTCTTTATTTTTCTATCCTTATCTTCATTTTTCATTATCCAAACATCAGATAAAAATCTATCACGCCGCTCATTTCCCTATTCCAACCCCCATTTCCTATTTCCCAAAGGCCACCTAACGATTACGACAACGGTTATAACAATCTGTTTAACTATGTCATTATATCATTGTATCGGATTATAAGTCAAACAAAAACGATTATTGCCATCAGGAAAGCAAAATAAACATGGTGTTGCTGGTTTTCCTAGGTTATAGTTTACACTTTACAGCAAAAGCTTGAAACAAGCTTTGGCGGGGACTATTCTCTACCAGAGCTGACCTGTTTAAAAGTGCAGGAACAAAAGAAAATCATAATTTGGTTTGTAATGTCACCTAATCAGTTTTCTGTTATCGACATCTTATGGTAAACTTCATTACCGTCAGGAGCCTGTTTTATGCTCCTATAATCCAAATTATACTCCCTCTTAATGAAATACATACATACACATGGTTACGAAAAAAAAGAAAATCATAATTCATCTATCCCAAAACATAAGACATAATTTGACTAGATGTAGTCTTCAAGATCAACTTTACCCACTAATTTATCTTATTAACTAATATATATAATTTATAGCAATAAAAGTTTGATCATTAGAAATATTTCTAAATAAAAAATACAGTGTACCAACTTTTATAGTATACATTTTCATATAATAAGACTAACTGTTAGCAAAAAAACTAAAGTTTAAATTTTATAGTATAAAATTTCACTTTTATATCTCAAGTCCCTGATTTTTTTTATTTTTGTTCAAGCAATAAATAATTTTATTATTTTTTAACTATAGAAAAAATATAAATTATCTCTAGTGAGTTCTCTTTCTAGTTGTACTAGTTAGTTGTATAAGATTGTTACCTGAACAATCTGAAAATTCAGGCACCTGAAATATAGCAACTTCCATAAAATTTTCAAAGATAACAAAAGTATTACAACAAAGACCATAGACTCAACATCTTGTAATGGCAACGAAGAAAGATCACTCCAATCTTCGTCACCAGAGTTGTGAGGAGTTTGACCCAAATTATGAAATACAAGATGGTCATAGTACCCAATAGTTTTCATAGTAGAGCCCCAGTGTAGGAGTATCTATTTTAACAAAATCACAAGTAAGGTGCCAATCAGAGTAGTCTCCTCGGTTCCTGAATGCAGCGTCGTAGCAGTCCAAGGAAATGACAAATTCTGTGGTGCCATTCATTTGCCATTCTTTCTCCTTCTACTAGTCCCAACAGACATTCTGTGGTGCCATTCTTTTTCCTTCTAATACCAACACGGAAGACAAGAAAATGTCACTATTATTAACTCTGCCAACAGCAATCTTGTTCATCAAGAGCAAGGAAATTAGAAAGAGCAAGAACGATCATATCCTAATCATTGTAATGTACATAAATGATAATTTATTCAGGTTAGCAAGAGCAACAGATGGTTTTACAACGACCAGGTCAATTGCTACAGAAAGCTTTTGATCTATCCACAAAAGTAAAGCATGTAAGCATGATACTAGTTATGCAAACTTCGTATATATAAAGGCACTAAATCTTCAAAATCGTAGTCTCAGCTTCACAGCAGAATGTAAAGTGACTACTAACAAAATGAGGAAAAAATTGCACTGTTCAAACCTTTGCGACCACAATTACAACTGCTACAAAGCCTTGATTTTAGTAATGGTATTTCTGACACGTTAAAAAAACTCGACCCATGAGAAAGACCTCCCCCTCAAGAAAAGGGACCAAAGACTTAGACTACCTAGAAACACTTGGAAAGCAGCATAACACCCAGCTCCCCTCCTTTTTTTGTGAGACCCAGGGTTTGAACCCTGGTTGATGGTGTCAGGGGAAGTGGAACTGCGCCGGGGTCAGTACCATTACAGTCTGGGCCCAGTGCTTTGTTGGAACAGTGCGGAACAGGCCTGACACAGACAACAAACAGGCCTGGCTCCGGCGCAGTTCCGATCTAGATCGGAACTTTTGTTTTGGTTATTGCGGTGTGGTGTTCATTTTTTATCAAAAAACGAACACGTGGTAAGCAAATTAAGGAAAGAAAATGTATAAGAGACCCCAAGCTCAGATCTGAAGAAGCTTTGAGAGCTGAGCAGGAAAGGCACCAAGCTCACCATGCAGGCCTGTATGCTCACCTTTGGCTGCCTGCTGTCTAGGTGGGTCCAAACAAGGGAGATGTCCACTGTGGCCCTAAAACTTACTGTGCGCCTGCAGAGGCTAGCGTGCCGATCGTGGCCATCCGCTCACCACTCCTCGTGGCCTCCTGCACACCCCTGGACGTGGAGAGTAGCGAGCGAGTCAGAGCCGTCTGCTCATCACTCATCTTGGCCTCTATTGTGTCCATGGAGGCTTGTGCAATCGTCATGGCCGCTGCCTTGCGGTCATGCAGATTGGAGATGGAGAGGGGAGTTGCAATCTTGGATCCATGCATAGGGAGTCATAGGGTTAGGCTGGGGAGCAAATCATAACATGGGCTCTGGGACATTGCGTGAGAGGATGGGCTGACGGCCAGCAGGCTACCTGCTAGTGCTTGGACATTCGATGATTTCGGTGATTCGGCTTCAGAGACTCAAAAACCATACTAAACACCACAAACCAAATAGATAGTGATTCCCCAACCGCAAGAAACACTGAGCACCAAAAAAATTTGGCACAGTTCAGTTAGTTTGGTGTAGCGTATTTCAGCCCATGCCTACATGGAATGCGCTCCAAAGGATTCATATTGCAACAAAAATGACTTTTGCACCAGTACCTCCACAAGCACAATGGCAAATTGGTGATCTTTCAATTGCACTAAATCTTAAACCAACTTATTTCACTTGGTAGATTTCAACATCTCAAAGATTCTTATCGATGAGCTCATCTTTGAAGAAGCAAACAAGTTCTCATAGTTGGAAAGGGATAGTGAGAGCAGGTTAGCCAAGGCCCAAGGGTCCATAACGATGTAAAGATTTCAAAGCTCATATCCATTAATCTTTAAGCGGTGGGATGTAGACCTGGGACATGCTGAAAGGACCTTTTTCAGTCCAGCTTGGTAAATGAACTAGGTTGTCACATGCAGGTCTGTTTGTGGGTGTATCATCATGACAGGCTTAGGAACTGTGGTCAGCTACCAGGTCAGGGATACAGGGAGAAATGGATGTACTAGAGAGATTTATTACTGTTTAATCCAAGTAGGAGCTAAATGCTCTATAGAGCTTAGTCTGACCCTAACGAACTCAACAAATTGAGGCCAGCTGTTGTACATGCAGCCTAACATGACGCTAGCTATGACCAAATATTCCATTGTTAAATAGTTCAGTTTAAAGACCTTTTCCTAAAAGAAAGAACTCAACTGTAAATTGAAATCATATGTGTACAAGCTATTGCTCCAGTATATTGGACAGTTTCATGTTATATCTTCAGTATACAAATTCATAGAATTTATGCTCTTTCCATCTTCGTTTTTCTTTGTCATTATATCTTACATAGTATAGTGATGGAAAAGCAACACCAAACCAGTGTTTATCCCCAAGTAAGTTGTGGTTAGATAGATATGAAAACTAACATGAGCCACACAGCAAAGAAAAAAGAAAGGAAGAAAAACTTTTCCAAGTTTAATTGATTCTTCCATGCCAACAATAGATAAGAACACTCATTGAACATAGGTGGAGAACAAGAAAAAAAACCATTGAAATACTTACAGATTATAAATGAGTTATTGTACTCAAATATCAATTTCAGTAAAAGTTTAGGGGTGAAAGGGTTAAAGGAGCATACTACCAATTACCAAACGATAGTTTATTAGTGACTGAACACAACCATTTAAACAAAAAAAGTGTACTACCAAACGGTAACTGATACGATATCAACACCAAAGCTGTATAAATGTCACCAGTAAGTTAGGATCATGACTTACTAAATCATATAGAAGGCAGCGACAATGATGGGGGAAAACCACAATAAAGGTAGGCTTCAGTCACAGTAAAAAGGGTTGTCCGACAGAAACTCCCAAGCTGCATTGTCTTGACATCAAGCGAAAAATACTCAACATGTCGCTCAATCTGATCATTCAGGTTCTCCTTAGGATCATCTAGCTTTATAAATAAGTATCCCTCAGCAGCACCTATGATGCCTCTAAATCGATACCCCCATTCCTCAGGCAAGGTGATTCTGTTCAGAAGCTGCCACCGGTCGCTGAAATACAAGAATGTATAAAAATACAGAATGCATCTTCTATCTGGCCGGAAAACATCGGAGACCACAACGGTAGTCCGGCCATCGCTTGACTCCAGAGTGGTAATCTGATTACTGAACATCATTGCACGGCCTGTCAGGACAGGTGAGATGTCCACGATGGAGAACTCCATTTTGCGTGTGTCCAACACAAGCCACCTATGTGTGAGAGCTACCATCCAGTAGAAGCACCCATGAGCATGGTTGCGCTGTCCTAGTCGAACGCCCATGACTCTTCTCGTGCTCAAAGCGTAGTATTCAGGCGGTGAAAGTGCACACCATTGCTGTGACTCTGAGGAGTAAAAGAACGCTACCAGCTTCCCTCGACAGCATGCCATCCAGATCACAGTGAACGCCGTGTCGTTCTCACTGACACTATCATCACTACGAGAAACCAGGAAGATTTCACTGCTGCGTGACTGCAATTGGCCATCGCCGCCGCGCTGGACGTAGGGGTTTTCCACGGAAGCGGCGAGGTCGTTGGGGATGGGCGGGAGCAGACGGTACCTCCGGAACAGGGGGTCGCAGATTGCGACCTCGGTGAAGGCCGTGGAGAAGTCCCGGACGCGGTCGAGTAGAAAGCGGCCGTCACGGCAGTCGCGGACGAGCCAGTCGCTGGCGGCCGGCGGGAGGAAGTTGAAGCAGAAGTCTGCTGAACTGGCGAGCGCGCGGGCGAGGGCCGCCGAGGGGTGCGACGGCAGGGCTGCGCAGAACTGGGATCCACCAACCCCGCCGCCCCAGGCGGGGTAGCAGCAGAAGACGCCGAGCGGAGGCGGCGCGTGGACGGCGCCGAACCGGCGGAGGAAGAGCGGGTTGGAGATGACGCGACGGAAGGAGGAGCACGACGCAGAGGCGCGCGCGAGGTCCCGCGGCGACTGCACCCCGAGGAGGATGTCCGCCAGGACGTCGTCCGTGAGCGCGGCCAGGTTGACCATCGGCGGCAAGGGCAGCGGCGACGGATCCGGAAGGTTTTTTTTTTTTGTTTTTCTTTTTTCTTCTACTACTTTTTTTTAAGGGTTTCCGAAATGAGAACGTCGGGCTTCCGAAATGGACGCTGTGTGTCACCCAAGCAGCTGTGGGCTGTGGCTGTGAGGAGGGACCCGACCTATTCTCAGCCCAAAGGCCAACGCAAGGCCCGCGTTATAGGGAACACTTGTGCGCTCGGCGAGCTAACAGCATGGCTAGAAGCCTAGTAGAACACTAAAAATAGTTTAGACAGTTCGATTTCTTATTTACGGCTCTCATGTCATGTGAGGATTTGCACCGTTGTCAAAGCAAACTAGATAGATATAAGCGCTACGCTGCGCTGGTTTTAGCTTTACACGTGTTCTTATTGTTGTTTTGGTTGAAAAAAAGAGGCTACGAAAGTTTAGGAATCCTCCGTCTATTCCCACTACAAAGACTTTAAACGGTATGCACGTTACCGGCCAGCTATCAGCGGATAACTGTTAGGGCAACTCCAACGTGTGATCTAATTAGAGGTGCAAGGAAGAGAGAGTAAGGTAGAATAGGTGCAATACACTAGACTAACGGTGCTACTTAGCATTTCTAAGAACTTGTAGCTTATTTGAGCACCTGGTGCATAAAATAAAATAAAAAAAAGAATAAACGTCAGAAGTTCACTTGGTTCATTGGTTGATAGACGTTGTCGTGCATGTTACTTCCTCTATCAAAAAGAGAGTCACCTAGGGTAGCACGCTACTACAACAATGATTTCTAGAGGCGGCTGGTGAGGCTTTGTAGAGGCGGCTCGGTCAGCCGCCCCTATCATACCGTCTCTACAAATCATGCATTTGTAGGGGCGGTTCTCAGACCGCCCTTATAAATCGATTTGTAGGGGCGGCTGTAGTACCAGCCGTCCCTATAATACCTGTTTGTAGGAGCGGTTCAGTCTAGAATCGCCCCTACAATACATTTTTTCGCCAAAAAAATTTCAAATTTACAATTCAAATTCGACCAAAACAGATTTGAATTATATATATATATATATATATATATATATATATATATATATATATATATATATATAATTCAAATCCGACCATAACATATATAATTCAAATCTGACCACAAGCACAAGAGCATTATATAAACTACAATTACAAGTCCAATTCACAAGAATCCATCACCTTTTTTCATGGGACAAAGCAAAATCTTGCAAACGAGGAAAGGTAGGATACAGAATTACATGTGCACAAATTTAAAGTATAATTCATATTTTTCATTAGATGAAATGTACAACATAATCCATGTCTTAACTAAAGCAAATTAAATACTCAATGATCAAATAGAAAATGTTATGGAATATAAGACATGAATGGTGGAGCAAAAGTAAGTCCGGTGATGTTTCGAGTTCTATAGGACTTGTGCTGTTATAGGTAACACACACAGAGACTTTTAGATAAATAAATGCAGGACACACAGAAGCATTAGAGCACTTGAAAATGAGTAATCATGCAAGAAAATATAGTTGTTGTGCTTAAAATGGAATGGACACTAATTATTAAATGCTGGAGTCGCTGACAATTGTTCAAATCCAAATTACGAAACAGAGAATATTCTACGAATAATGTAGGTTCTGTAGAAGGGAAAAGTACTTCTCTCCAATGCGAAATATCGAACCTGTGATAACATAGAAAATACTTGGAGATCACACTAGGTAGATTGCCAGAACTTAAAAAAATCCATCTTTGCAAAAATATAAGAATTCATATTAAAAAAGTAAATGGGATCTAGAACAACTGGACCCATCATTCAAACAAGGCTAATATTTGCTTTAGCCACTGAGGTTCCATATAGCTTCAATCTAGCAAATGCCCCTGCACATCAATTTGAAATAATCAAAATTTATTATGAATGTTAACTTTAAGTGGCAGACATATATTGAATCGTTGTAACAGAATAACAAAACAACAAATAAACTTGAAAGGGAACAAACCAGCAAGCCTGAGAAGGGCAACAAAACACATACATTGACATCACCAACCACTACTACTGGTCATTGATTGCTGACCACTCACCACTCAGTTGTAACAGCCATAAACTCAACTGGAATTAAATACAAAGAAGGCAACTTATAGACTGCCTCAAATAATTTTGTCAGCTAAAGTATGTAATTCCTTCATATTACAATTACCAGCCACACATGAGCGAATACAAACTTGTAACGGAATCAATAAAGCACATCGGATAAATAAATATGTATATATTTCTGTTAGGTTAGCCATATCTTTGCCTCTATATTCAAGTTGCATATGAAAGTGACTCTAAAATTTCGCACCATGAATACGCCAAGCCTATTTAGTGTGTTCTTTAGACAGGTGACAGGATGAGTCTATGAACAGAGCAATAGAGATCTAAGTTTGGGACTAAACCTGATATTACCTACAGATATTTTATAGCAGATCAAATTTGGCAGATCTTGAAGAATATCTTCTACTGCGTGTTGCTCTGTATTTTCTCATATAGAAAACATGCCCGCTCATATATGTGAAGAACATTAGAATTGCGTACACAACTATTGAAAGGGAATAAAAAATTAAATAAAACCCAGATCACCTTGGTCCAATAGTGGTTACAAAAGATAAACATGGAAATCACCGGATCGCATCTGAAAGAAAAAGAAGGGTGCATTAATATAGTTCAATTTCAAGGATAGATTACTCCAAAGATTTTATAAATAAAATTAAGACTTTTTCTAGACAATAGAAGCATGATAGTAATCGAAAACTAAAGATTATCCCCAACTAAAATTAGTTGCAAGCTGGTAGCATGGAGAAGGTATCCCTTTCATTAACTCTACGATATTAGCAAGTTAGTTGGTCGAAGCTGCAGCACAAAATTTAGGACAAAATAAACATCCTCATAATTTCCAACATTTGAGTGGTCTGGAACTTGGCTAAATTGGATTGAACAAACATTGAGCGTGCTTGTTATCTCTTTGCTTGCGACAAGAAAGAAGGACAAAGGGGCAGCAGAACCAAACCTCAGAGAAACTCATTTGTGGTGGCCTAACCCTCATTCCAATAGTCATCTCCATCAACAAATCGCCCATCCCAGCGTCGGCAAGGGAAGGGGAGAGGAACAAAGGAGGTAACACACCCTCACCTAGGGTTGGTCGCGACTGAGGCCTCTCGCATCGGGACGGCCGCATCCATGCCGCCGCGCTAGGGCTTGCTCATGTCGGGAGGGCGGGCAGCGTGAATGATGGCACTGGGGCCACGCTTGTTGGGGTGGCTGACGTCAAGGTCTTATTTGGGGCGGCCGCTATTGCTTTGGGGCTGTCGTCGTTTGTCTTTGCCGCCACACTAGGGCTTGGTCGTGTCGGGAGGGGGTGGAGCAAAGAGCTGGTAGTCTTGGGGTCGCCGGCAAGACTCTACGTCGTCGCCGCGCGCCTAGGGGCGGCCGTCTTTGCTAGGGCGGTCATGGCCGATGTGGCCCGGTGCGGAGGGAGCAGAAGGAGTCGACGTTGGGGGAGGAAGAAGCGGTGGAGACGAGGAGGCAACAGGAGAAGTGGAAGAGAGGAGGAAGGTATTTTTGTGTCGAGCCCATGGGAGGTGGAAGAAGGTGGCTATTATATATACAGTGGACATTTGTAGGGACGGCTGGTGATTCAGCCGCCCCTAAAAATAGACATGGCAGGAGTGGCTCTACATACTAGCCGCCCCTACAAATCGACGCATTTGTAGGGGTGGCTCGTATTACCAGCCGCCCCTACTGTGCCATTTGTAGGGCGGCTGCTGTGTTGGAGCCCGAGCACACCACTGTAGAGGCTGCTCCAATGCCAGCCGCCCCTAAAAAAAGCCCCGTTGCTATAAACTATTTTTCACGTAGTGACAATATTTATATCTCTAAATAAGCTTATTATGAAAATATATTTAACTATTAATGTAACGATACTTGTTATGCATAATAAATATAAATAGTTTCTTGTATGTAATTCATCAAAGTTTTAGAAAATGTTTAATTTCTCAAAAATTGAGAATGCAATTCTTTATGGGACGGAAGGAGTAGCTAACAGGAAATAATATTTTATTTTTATAGTGGATCCCTTCATTAGAAATTTTAGTTAGATAAAACATTGGAACAATTTTTGAGCTAAAGAAGTAACTCATCGTGAAATTTTTTCTGGAACAGGAAAAATAGTAAATTAGTTGTATATTTTTTTGAATCACATAGTATAGTTCAAGCCCTATTCTTACGAGTACATCGCAAAGATGAAATGGGCATATTTTAAGATTGATAGGATCATCTGAAAGCCCTAGTTTGGTTTTGGTTAATTGATGAAACCCATTTGGACTACCCCTATGCTCTAAGTGTGGAAGTGAGATAGGTTGGTCCAAGCCAAGTGTGGAGCAAAGATGAAGTCCATGGTGAAGGTGTTGGACATGTGATGATGATCAAGCTCTGGACTTGAAAAAGAAGAAAAAGAAAAACAAAATGGGCTCGAGGCAAAGGTATATTTGACCGGGCTATTTTGTTTTGGTTGTCAAGACACTTAGTGAGTGTGACCATGTTTAGGATATATGATCGTACTATTAAGAGGGGAGCTCTTATCGGACAACTCGATCATTTAGCGCCACTAGGTGTTGGAATACTTACATTGCATTTTAGACCTAGTGCACAATCGGTGAGAAGTGATTAACCTTTGAAAAATGATTGTGAAAATGCTAACACACTCGCACATGATGGTAAAACACTTGGAGTGTTAGAGCAACTCCAGCAGGACCCCTACTTGAGCTCCCATAGCTAAATATGGGGGTTCAGGACAAAAAACGAGCTCCAACAGGGCCCCTACTAGAGCCCTGAAATTGGGGTGGGCACCCAAATCTTTCCCTCAGACCCAATTCCTATTGGCCCAACACCCCAGCCCCCATTCCTATTTCCTCCCACGCGCTCGTACTGAATCGCACCGCTCGCGTTGTCGTGCGCTCAT